TTTCATCCCCAGCGGTTCTTCCTGCCGGGTGTAGCGCCCACCGCAGACCCCGAGACAGGTGTGGCATCCCATCTTGACGCCGTACGGGAGGGTGTAGCAGCCAGGGAGCTGGACGAGCTCTCAGAGGCAGTGTCCCACTCGGATTGACTCTCTCCATCTGTCTTCTCTGGGGCTTCCTGGTCCCAACGCATCCGCTTACGTCGTCTCTTGGGTGTCGCGTCCATTTCTTGTGGCTCTTGGCTCTGTGTCTGCTGTTGCTCCTGCTCTTCGCGTTTCTGCTGGATCTTACGCACTACTTCAGCGCGTTCCTGTTCCAGTTGCTGCGTCTGCACAATCTCCTTGTAGCTGCGTGCCGGTGTCTTGTCCCCAAAGGCATCGCCGCGCTCGGGAGACAACATGCGCTCGAAACGCCGCTTACGGTACGCGTTCTCGCGGTCCACGATGCGCGTGTTGACGAGTCCTGATCCATTGGCTTCCCGTGCCTCGGCGAACGGGTCGTAGTTGTCGTCGATAAGCCCGTCATTAGGCTGCGTTTTCTTGGCTCGAGAGTGATGGTCATCTGCACGTTGTTCCTGATCACCCTCGTCTCCCTCTTCTGTGACTGTCGCGCTGTAGCCAGAGAAGCGATCACGACTGGAGCCGTAGATATCCTGGTCGAACTGCCCCGTGGAGGACAGACCCACGCCCACCTTCTCGTCCTTCTCCGCCATGCTTAGCTAGGAGGTCGCCGTCGAGCTTTCTTGGTTGCCGAGCTGGGATCAGCCCAAAATAACCTCGAAGAAAAACCTTATTTGATGTGGAACACATGAAGCGGTGTGCAGGACATCTTCTAATATCATCTTTTTTTGTTTTATCCAGAGTATACAACCGGAGGTACAAATCACTACGAGAACATATAAACTGTATTATTTAATATGCAAGGAAATTATAGAAGGGTTTAAATCACTTGTCAATATTAATCACCGTGTATATGTTATTAATATCCAATGCATGTTGTTTTAGTCATTTACGGGCGACATGACGACCAGCACTCTGACAATGATATAATCATACAGGAACGAATTACTACCTACGGGCGACATGACGACCAGCCTCAGTATTTTTCAACTGCCACACCCCACAAGGGCAAAAGCACCACCGTCGCAACCACAACCTTTCCCACTCGAACGCCCTACAAGTTTTCTTCCTTTTGTGATCATTACGACCAGAATCACCACCGTCGCAGCCACAACCTTTCCCACTCGAACGCCCTTCAAGCTGTCTTCCTTTTATTATAGATACAACCCCCTTAGATATTGCCTACACCTATTGCTTTTTTTTTCATTTAGTTAACCAACATACTTTCCACAGTTAAGTCTTACGTTACCGTCCCAATTGTGACATGCTCAAACACAACGTCGCTGGTATTCGTTGTGGTCACTCGTCGTAACTTTCATTGTGGATTTACGATCCAAGGGCACATTGACTTGTGTTTATTTTACCACTAAAGTCTCCCACTCACTAAAGGTTCCGAAATCCATGTCACTTATTCAACAGCTGTAGCAAGCTCGCGCGAGCGAGCAGGAAAAAACAACTATTATCTCTGTTCCAGATATTCGGCAGCGTGTAGGGAGAGCGGGAACTGTTCGTGGGGTCTTCCGTCTGAATGGTAAATGCTCCTTCTCTCGTGGCGTCCATCTCAACCTGCTCACTCGTGGACTTTCGAACGGCTTCGTCGACGCTGAACACGCTTACACACGCTTCGCAGCAACGATTTACATTCCGTGTGACGGTTTGGAGCGGAAACCTTGACGATGCGCGTTTCGTGGTTGGAAATCTCCTGCGACTGCGCGCGATTGAGAAAGTGGATCTCTGGAACGGGGTTCTGTGCGGGTCCTGCCACCGTGAAGACATCGATGTGATCGACGATACTCACCTTATCGGACTTGGTGTGCAGGAGAACGGTGCTGCTCCATAAAACGACCCATGATGGCGCAGCTCCCGAAGCAAAACTGGGGTGATGCAGAAGTAGTGATAACAAAGTAGGACATATTGAAAACGAAGCTAGTAGGAGTATACCGTAATAGCTTAGGAACTGCGAAAAAGTACATAGTGGGACTACGGTAGCTGGTGGGATAATGCAAGTAAAACTTCTGTCAATTTTGAATGCCAAACTAAATGCTTATGTGTGCACAATTTTGTACATCACATTTGGTTTAAATAGTTCTCGAAATATTGGTTAATGAAAACAGCTCGATTCATTCACAAAGTTTCTTTCGATCGGATTTGCACCATGTCGCCTAAGGAGAATACCATTGAGCGCAACAGGAAAATGACCAGAGAGAAGTACCGAGCTGCATTGGAAACAGAGCTGAATAATGCGAGGCAAGCTCGCCGAGAGCGAAAGCATCGGAATTCTCGGCAAACTGATGATATGGGCCCTATATCACATGAAGTTCTCAATCGTGTACATAGTGAATGCGCGCTAAGGCTCTCTAACGAGAGTATGGGAGAACAAGTCTGCAGCGTATGTGATTGTCTGCACATTGCAGCCGAAGTTACTGTTACGTCTGTCGCACGTTCGCCCGTACTAGTGGATGCAATGATAAAGCAACTCCATTCCCAGCGAACCTTCCGGACTCTCTTCGTGCGTACTACAATGTGAAGGACTTATATGAGCCGTTCGAAGGAATCTTGTTATCACGACGTGGAATGGAAAAGAAGGCTGGAGTTGTTCGTCTTCAGATTTGCAATGCATGCCGTCCATCCCTACTGCAGAAAAGGCTTAAAAGCTCCCCAAAGCTCTCAATTGCTAATGGACTTTTCATTGGAGCTTTACCGTCAAGATACCACGACACAACCGCAACAGAAAATGCGATGCTGAATTTGGCTCAGCCTACGCGGCTTTTGGAAGTGGTTCGTTGTGGAAACACAGTACTTTACGTTCTCACATTTACTACTTTCGCGCCGATCCATCTACACCTGCTCACTGGTTACCAAACGAAATAGTATCACAAGGAATTATAGGAGTTACAATGGCTGGTGCGCTAACGGAAGAGCAAAAGCTGCGAACAATGAAAAAATACAAGGCGAGGCCGGAGCGACTGCGTGGACAACTTGCATTGTATCTCGCGAATAACCGCCTTTATAATAATGTCGAGCAGCGCTCTGAAGCTGGCTGGGCTTCTTATTCAACAACTGTGGTTTTGGATCGGACAACCGACCGTCAACACGATTCTAGTGGTGATGGATTGGACAAAGCCACTTGGCGTCATAAAGCCCCAGTCCCAGCACACTGCAATGTTGAAGTACAGGATGAACTCTACGAGCAAACTTCCACGGCGTTGGTAAGTGATTTTTCCTGTCCAGACGACTTGGAGGTAATTCGACAGGCCATCAACGCACGAGACGTCGTTGTATTTCGTTCTTCAGACATTCTTTCTGACTTTGACCCAGCATTTTGGTCGCTGTCGTTCTGTGAGCTATTTCCTTATGGTCGCGGGGGATTGAATGAACCACGGCAGATCAAGATCGGATTACACGAATTTATTCGCTACTGCTTACGTTTATCCACGAGGAAGCACGTAAAGCATCCGTCATTTGCCCTACTTGGATTTGATGTGATCGCACGTCACCGAGCTATACTAGCTATATCGATTCGGGCTAAACTAGCTCCAAGAGTGTCAATTAGTGCTGCTGCTGTGACGCGCGAAGAACTGAATAGTCACATTCAATACCAAATAGAACGACTGAACGCATTAGCTAAAAATCGAGCACTGCCCACTCAGTCTGACATAAATCGACATGTTGCCGACTTGTATTCTGACATTTCCACGGGTATGAGATCTTTCTGGGGGTCTAATGACGAAAGGGCAGAAGCAAGAACGAATTTGTTCGCAATGCAGCTGACGGTTGGAGAACCGTCGCTGTTCTTTACCGTATCACCGGATAGCTCGCTCACGTTCCGGGTCGCAAATTTTTCTGGAGACATGGAGACAGAACTACTGGATGCGGTTCACAGCACTTTGAACCGTCAAATGGAAATTTCCCGAGCTCGCCTAGGAATGATTGCCACTCAAAACCCTGTTGCCTGCGCAAGGTAAGCATTACAGTCACTAATGCACAACACAACATTAATGATTATTATGTTGTGAACAGATACTTTCATCACATTATGGAAATTATTATCGACGTTATATTTGACTGGGACCAAGTCCTGCGACGTCCGAGAGGACGGGGAGGGCTTTTTGGTACTACAGAAGCTTTTTTTGCCTCCACGGAGTCTCAGAGCTCTACAGGATCACTTCACGCGCATATCATGGTTTGGATTCGTGGTATGCCCAAAACGCTGGAGGAATATAAACGTCTTCGGAGCAGTGACAACTTCCAACTGAAGCTACTGAGTTACGTGAACTCTATTCTTCAAGCAAGTTACCCAATTTCGACTGATTGCTGCCCTCACTGTCGTGAAAAGGCTATATGTCCCGTGCCTGTTAGCCAACAAGCATTCAAAGTGCCTTTCAAAGGGTCTACGCGTCCCACAACTTCCAAGTGTCAATCTTGCAATCCTACGTATGGATCTGACGAACTCGCACGAAAATGTATCTCGAAATTGACCGAGAACCAGACCGATCAAAATTCTGCAGCTGAATTTACCCGGCTGGCAATGCCACAACCGTTACCACGCACAGTAGATCGCGATTCATTGCCGGCCGTCAATTCTACTCAAGCTCTTCTCACATACCAAAACCATCATTGGTTTCACAGCAAGTCGTGTTTCAAAAAGTCCAAGCGAACTCCTGCTGGAAAGAGCTGTAGAATGTTTTTCCCAAAAACGACCTGTCCTAGTACAAATTGGACCGACGTAGGATCGCTGGAAATGAGAAGAACGACAGGAAGCGAGTACCTGAGCCCATACATTCCTGTAGTGAACGAAGTGATAAAATCAAATCACGACCTCAAGGTTCTAAGTGCTTGTGAAGGTACGCTCCCTCTCAAGAATTCCTCTATTTGACTAGTGCTTATCTGTAATGATACCTATAGGCCCACACGTCGCATTTTATATGATGAAGTATTCGACGAAGGCACCAAAAGGATGTTGAAAACCCTTTGGCGCTACATATTGGAGCCTTCGATAGATCTACAGCAAACTCCGACCCAAGTTTGGATAATATTCAAGCTGGTCGTCGTCGAATGCAGTCAATGTGCTGCTCATTATCCAACGTCCATGAAATTGCTGCTCCGATGGCTAGTTTATACCTGCTACGCGGTTCGGCATTTTACGCTTCCACTTTCTTTGGAAAAATCTTCCTGAATTCGTTCTCCACCGCTCTTTTTGGTTGTGAAAGAAGAGAAATTATACTGGCGGAAAGCGAAGATGGGATTGAGTATAAACCTTCCAGCTCATATCTTGATTACGTATATCGATCAGAAGAACTAGCTTTGACCTCGGTTATGGAATTTACGTCAGCTTGGAAGAAACAACGAAACAAGACTGGCCTCAAGCTTAAACAAGGACATCCTTAATTGAAAACACATTCTCTGCATCGTCGAGATCATTCAGTAACTCCTGTAATTATCGGACCTCGACTGCCGGATTTCCGAGATCCTGGTTTATCGGATGATATCGAGCACAGCTCAAAACAAAAATGCTCATTTTATTCAGACCCTTTCGAGATCGTGCAGACTTTGGAGCAAATTTCACCTCAACAAACGCAATCTTCGAGCGCTGGTGGAACTCGG